TCTCAAAGCGTGATGCCTGCTTTGCATTTTAATTCACTTTAGCAAAATGCTCTCAGCTCCTCTTGGCCTAACGCTGTCCCATATTTTTGAAGCTCACTCCGTATTTCTTCATTAATGAAAATACAGGCTGGTTCTGGGATCTCCCTTGATACCTCCTCACTGACATGAAGTATTGATAACTCTCTTTAGTACAGTTGTTCACTGGCAGTCCCTTGTTGTTCCCTGTGAAAGAGAAAACAATTTAAAAATAGTTAAGATCCTGCTCTCAAAATTGTGTATAGACCCCACTCTTAAAATCTTATATGAAAGTTGTGGACTTTGACATATTTTTAATGATGCCCATTGTGTTACCTGCTTCTTGGGAGAATCAAATGAATTATTTTTCTCTCTCTTTTATATACCACTATGTGTCATGACATTACCAAAAGAAGGGGTACTGAAGAGACTAATAGGAGTCTGGTTTAAAAGAGAAAGAAGAAAGAATCTCTACTTAGAAGTAGAGTCTGCTGGAACTTGTGGCCACAGGAGTTTCTGGAGGCTTTTTCCATGAGTTCATAAAAGGAAATCCGTGGACAGTATGCTCAAAAAGGGATACTGAAAGGTCCAGGCAGAAACCTGCCTTCTATCATCCGTAATACAACAGCTCTGGATGCTGGCGGAATACGAGAGGATGGACTGCAGAAAGTGGCCAGGTTCATGTTTTCCTCCCTAAACAGTATATCCCACTGCCATTGCAGAGTGCTGGGCCAGGCATGCAGTTGCTTTGACCCAGCAGGACATCTCTTACTTTCTTACAAGCAGCTTCTACGCAAGATCAACAGGGCTGGTGGAGCTCCCAGTGGACATCTCGTCCACCCCGTTGTCCTGTGCCATTGTGGCTGCCACATATGCAGAATGGACCTCAGTTTGGCTCTCAGGTAGAGCTGTCACCTGTGCAGCCAAAAAAAATCTATGCTTACATCTGCTGATAGGACAGACATGAGCTGGGATCCACAGAGAAAATGCACGTAGCATCTCCCAGTAACTTTTAATGGGGGGAGCATCATCTTATTTAGCTTCAGTCATTCAAAAGTTAGGCAAGTAAGTCGGTAGGCCACTGTTTGCATTCATAGCACAGTCAGCTCAACTCCAGAGCACAGTTCGTCCCGTTCTACCAACCTATCTAGGAAACAGTCTTTAGTACTAACTGGAGAGTATCCTTTTTCTTGCATGTTGCTGAGAGATCTGAAAGAGCTCTTCCAAGTGGGATGGGAGAAGATGAATAATTTTTGGGTAGAGAAGGAGTAACTGATCTTTCTTTTGCTTACTAGATTGGCTTGCTCAAACGCAAGACTTGAGTGGTTTTAAGAAGCGCTAGAACATACTGCCTGTCACCTTGTGCTCCTGTCTGGGATACTTAGATTTCCATTGGAAATCCTCCTGTAGGTCCCTACAGAACAACACATAAACTCTGCACCTCCCTCCTCTGCAAGAGACTATAATTGATACTTAAGATGAAAATTCACCTTGAGTTAACTGTGAGAATCCTTAGCCTCTCCATCTGGGGCAGGATTCTCAAAAATGCCAAGATCTCCTTGCCCATCTCTGTAGAGAAGCCACCCCTGTGATGTAGCTGATTGGACTCAAGGGATGATGTGCAGCAACGTTTTTGCAAATGAGGGCTGGTAGGGTGAGACTGTCGACAGGCAGATTGAGTAGGATTTGTCCAGTCAGCAGGGCCAGCCTCCTCCCATCTTGCCTAAAAAAAGGAAAAAGCACGGTGGCAATCTGAAGGCATGTTCCTGAGCCAGGACCTTGGCCTGGATTATGACTGAGGCATCATTTTTCACTGGTCGTCCAAATGCTTCTGGAGGTTTGGTTAAGATGCAGTTGACTGCATTCACATTTTCTCTCTGAGACTCTGGAGAAGGGCATTTCTCTGAGTTGCTGGAATTGTGCTGGACTGGGCCCAAAACAAACGAGATTGAACTTAACCCATCAGCAGGGAGCCTGGTGAGATTGCAGCCAAGGTCTCTGACAAGCAGACACTCGGAGGTAGCTTCTGTGGGTAAACTCTGGTCTTTGGGCTTCTTTGTCTTTACCTACTAGCTCCTTGTACACATAATTACAGCTGGAAAAAAAACCTGCCTTTGTTTTAGCTTGTTTAAAAAAAGTTAAAGATTATTCATCCGTCCCTACAATTTAAAGCAGAAAACAGAATATCTAGTTAGTGGCATTGTCAGCAAAGTTTTCTAAAAACGTAGTTATGGTCAGGATGGGGTCAAAAGCTTTGTTTTGGATATGCAACCCCCTCATTCCCCTAAGAATGTCCCCGTTCCTTGATCCAAAAATTGAGGGAAGTTTGGGGGATTTTTAAACAACTTTTCCTTTCTCTATTTCAGGTTAAGTGGGATGGGTTTGGCTGTGGGAAAGCCAGGTAAATCAATGCTTTTTTTTAATATCTGCACAAATCACAGGAGTGGATGTAAAGAGAGGGAGATTCCCAATTCCCAGACAACAGGTGTAAGAGTTTTGCTCTGTATTTGAATGGAGTAAATTTGACTGCAGGCTGCTTTGTACGTCGGGGGAATATCCTTGATGGTGAACTGGAGTTAGAGTGGCACTGTGTCATCTCTCCTGCCAAGTGCAGCCAGCTCTCCTTTTCCTGGCCATTTTCATGGCTGCTTAGCACCAGGTGGCATGGATGCATCATATACCTAGTGTTGTGCTTCTTCAAACTCCTGCTCCTTGCTAGGTGAAACTAGGGGCAACAACCTTTCCAGCCACCGGTAAAGCTGAGTAAGGTTTTCAAATACCCTCCCCTCTCCTAATGTCAACACTCCTGTATTTGAACCTTTTGCTCTGAATATTTAATGCATTTACTAATACATTTACGAGGAGTCATTCTGAGGTTTCCTGGTGGAGGGGCCCTGGTTCGTGGGGGTAGTAGCGATGCCTTTGGTTCAACGTTAGGCAAACACACTCAGTGTGGTTGCAGACTTCAGCCTTGGTAGAGGCTTTCAAAGGTTTGTAAATATTTACACACACTCCCGAATGAGGAGAAGAAGGGGGGAGCCTTTAAAAACTGAACCTGGAGAGGAATGTGAGTCAAAAATAACAAACAGGAGGCCTGCCTGAGTCAGAAATAAATAAGGGAAGAACAAGAACGAAATCTCAACACCTCATTAATCCCATAACTTCTCCTAAAGCATTACCTCATGAGGAATTCCTATAAATCTCATGGATTTGTTTCCATCTATTAATGGAGTGCTCAGCTCGATAGTCCAACTCATGCTCCTCTCCCCTTTTCCTACCCGAAGCCAGGCTTAAAATGGTTCTGTCCAAAATAATTAGGTGGAATAAGATTTAGGGGAGATGTCAGTAATTCCCCACACACTCCAAACTGCCTTTCTTTTACTGTCCAGGGGCTCCATCCAGTTTGCAACCTCACTGTGCTGAGGGCGTAATGAGATCTTTTACCCTAAAGTGCTAATGTCCAGCCAAGCATCTGACTAGACATGAACATTTCCACCCTGGGCTACCTTTACAGCAGCTGGAGAGATGACATCTCTAGGACAAGAGTCATCTCATCCAAAAGTCAATGCCTGTTGCTCTTGGTCAACTGTGAAGGCAGCCCAGGCTGACTGGCAGTGGTGAGGGTTTCTGTAGCGTAGAGCAATGTAACGTACTCTAACATCTAAGGTCTGAGGAGATTAATCCCTCCTGGTGGGAGGGTAGAGGACAAGAAAGGAGGGCCATAAAAGGCAATATGTGCTTGAACACGGGATCGGTTTTACCTCTTTTCTGCTTTATCAGAGCAGTCTTTGATGCCAATGGGTTTTTCACGTGAATGTGTTCTTCCCGCTATCATTGCTGACTATATTTTCAGAAGCCATGTTTGATGAAGTATCTTAGGATACTTCCCACTTCGGATACTTTCAACTTGAAGTATCTTAGGAGAATGAGATAGCTGGTTTTTGAGAACGCTTGAGCATCCAGTTTTGCAAAGTCAGGTCCCTTCTCAAGGTTTCTGGCGATCAAAGGAGGAGATTCTCCAACTCATGAGTTAGTTACTTCTGAAAACTCAAGTCAGCTGCTGGAAAGCAGACAAGTGAGGGAACCCCACACAATGGCAGACTTATCCTGATGAGTCTGGATGTAATTAAAAGCAAAAGCAAAACAAGCAGTAAAAGTCCGTGTGATATTTGGCAACGTGTCATCCCACGCTGTATTCCTGCCATGCTGCCAGCTCCTGGGTCAAGACTTGAGGTGGTGTACAGCCAGCTCCCCTGCTGTTTGCATCGGGCTGGGAGATACTTGGAGGGGAAAGTGCAGAGTCCTGCCTTGCTTGTATCGGTAGTCATTTCCCTGATATGGTCAGGGCTGGATAATGGCTGTAAGAGTCTGCTCAGGAGCTTTCTCAGCCTGGGATCCTTGGCATGGAGTCTGTGCAAATAGTCTTAAGCGCAGGATTCCTCCTCCGTCCCTTTTCAGGTTAGGCAATGTTGGGCAAACACCAGTGTTTGTCCTTTAAGGGGATCATCTTCTCCCAGCTCCCTGCAAGCAGCTTTGGAGCCAGCCTGGGAATACGTAGCACTAGGGACCACGAGTTTTTGTTTCAGTGGAGGTACCACCATCGCTTCTCTCCCTTGCCCATAACGGAGCCAGGGCCTGGATAACAGGCAGCCTGAATGTCACTGAACCTGAACCGAGACTCATGATGGAAATTAAATGCTGTTTTGAGTGTCAGAGTAGGTGATGTGAATCCTGTCTGGGGTTTCAGAGCAGGTGATGTGAATACAGCCCCGGGGTCCTCCCTGTGTCCCTTGCAGTTGTAGAAAGCTGCCTGGCCAGGTGCCCACCTACCACTTGCTTGCTGCAGCTGAGGCTCGAACGTGCTGGCCTCACCCGGCGCCTTGCAGAGCCGTCAGGCCCCAATGCCGTTGCAGGCACTGACCCATCCTTGGTTTACAAAGCCCTGCGGGGATTTGCGCTTGCTCACCGCATTTCCTTTGTTCCAGGCAATGCAACAAGACCTCCAACGGGAGCGACAGCTGTGACTTGATGTGCTGCGGCAGAGGCTATAACCCCTACATGGACAAAGTGGTGGAGCGGTGCCACTGCAAATATCACTGGTGCTGCTACGTGACCTGTAAAAAGTGCGAGAGGACTGTCGAGAGATACGTGTGCAAATGAGACCCGCCTCGCTCCGACCAGGAGCTGAGACGCCAGCGGCACCCAAGCACTATTCACAGAAGACAAAACATTTCCCTGACTAGATGTCGTTTATCTTGTAAAGATACAGACTTGAAGAGAGATGGTAGGAGGAGAAAGCAATTATACAAGCAAAAATAGGACCCTTAAAAAAAAAATGTAAAGAGTGGGAGGTTTTCCCACCAATAAAATGATCTCTGAGAAGACAAAACTCATTTGGGATGGTATCTTCTTCCAAAATATTTCCTATGGTTGCCAATGACGTCCAGCCATCAAGTGCCTAAATATTTTGAGAAACAAAAGTAGAAATTTTCCCAAGGGGAAGAAAAACAACTCTTATTTGAAAATAACTAAGGCCCACACCTGCTTATGCCTTCTAGTGCAGGTATTGGGTCTGCATTAGGACCATCCCAGAAGGGAAAACACTACAACGTTTCAGCAACAACCGTATTTGTTGCCAAAGACTTAATTTTTAGCATGGAAGCATCCACTCAGGATGACAAAGGTGGAAAGATTTTCAGGTTACTCCCCTGAAACGAACCAATCATTTTAACCTTTCTTTTATGCAGGTCTGTGACTTCAAAGCTACTGCTGCAGGAGAAGCTTCCCCCCGTTTTATTAGAGCTGATTTCGAACTCAGCTATTGACAAAAACCCATCAGATACCAAAAGCAGTGAGGGTAGGATACCCTGAGGAGGGCTTTGGGGGCACGAGGTCCACAGGATCGTAGTGGAGCTGGCAGGATGCAGTAACAAAGTCAAAGAGAAAATAAAAAACAATTCCCGCTCGCTTTCTCTGTTGCCCTTTGGATGTTACGCCCTTAATTACTGTCGCTCCACTGTGTTGGGCCACCACGTCCTTAGGAAATCTGCCGCTGCCTCTTTTCCCCCAGCAAAGCTGTTGACTGAGCACTGAGAAACTCCAGGGTCCTTAGCACTGCCCAGCCCCGGCTCTCAAAAGTGCAGGCATGAAGGTTAACAGCTAATTCTCAGCAGACCAAAGTGGGAACATGTGAATCTTTCACGTGGCCCTGCCCTGACACAGCAAAGAACCACTATCTGTGGCTGTACATATTTTCTTTTGTACGCGAACATACAGAAATATTTATAAGATATATCTCGCGCTTTCCTCTATCTTACTTTATACATAAGTATTTCTATATATTATAAACAAGGCTTAACAATAGTATGAAATAAATGCTGAAGTTACTGGTGCAACAGCAAAATCCTAGAATTCTTATGTTTCGTTCAAGGACATTGTTTCTTACTTGGAAAGCTACTCTAATTTCCCTCCCAAAGAAGGGAAAAGAGGCATTTGCTGGCGTGGGATAGAGACGTTCCACTATTCCCTATCTCCCCAGCCTGTTCATTTTCAACAGAATTAGCCAAGATACAGCTGAGGCAATGAAATGGAGCATTTGGAGAAAGAAAGTCACCGTTCTCATGCTGTTCTTTATACCAGCGATCATTCTCGTCACTAAAATTTCGTGGTGCCCTCAAGCAACGTATTAACCTATGTGACTCATACCTGTCATGAGTGGTTTGTTCCTCGCTCACACATGAGGAGAAGAGTTGCTGTGCAGTGGGGTTTTTACCTCTGATTAGGTTCCCTTTCTCTCTCTTTTTGCCATGGACATCCAGTTCTGCGTCTCTGTTGTGAAAGAAAGCACTGGAGAAGGGTGTCTGCTCCAGGAGCGGGGTCTGTGAAGGCCTTCAGGACTTTTGGGGGGACCATTGTTACCTAGGCAGAGAGCTGTAAGCAGCCAGCAAATCTCCTCTCTGTGGACGAAACGTCTTGTTGACCTCAGCGTTCGCTCAAAAGCGTCCAGTGTTCCCGTAGATCCCTGGATCCACGTCTCTGGCATCTAGAAGATAACCAAAATGCTGCCTCAAAGCCACTGCACTGAGAGAAGAAAAGTGTGACACACTTGTGGACCATCATCTTTTTGAAGAAAAGACGCGGCCGTACTCAGGGGCGGGAGGAATTTCTTCCTGGCCAAGTGTATATACAATAAAGAAATGACATGCACAGGCCGGTCTGTGGATCTCTATGAGGAATGCTCTGGAGCCCACCACAAATTCAGTTTCTGACCTCCCTCCACCCCTCCAAAGCCCTGGCACCCCAGCTCAGTGCCTCACTGAGTGAGCCTCAGGAGGCTCACTGCCTCCTGGGTGCAGTCAGCCGACCTCTCCATCCTCTAAAGTGTGCGGGGGACAGCAGGCACTTTCTTAGAGGGAAATATGGCCGTAGCACTACTGTCCTCCTCTGAACCCTTCATTCCCACCCAGCCAGTCTCTAGGAGGCAAGTGCCTCTGACATGTCACTGCACAGCCCCCAGAAATTGGGAGAAAACTGCCCAGCATTGCAGGTTATAGAGTAAAACTGGAGATATTTTATTCTCCTCGGCTACTCTTAGCATTACTGTAACAGGTCTGATCTCCTCGCCTCCCTCCCTCCGCTAGTATGTGCTGCCAAGAGCAGGCGAAAAGGGGCCTTTGGTAGTTTGTCAGTGGTTTGTGTTATTGTCACCCCATAAAAGCTGGTGGACTCCAATGTCTCCGCAGTGTGGTGTGATGAGTAGAGGGTGTCTTTAGGCTGATACAAAGACAGGTTGGTGGCAGGAATCCCACTGCTCTCTGAAGCCAGAATTTGGCTTTGTTCGATATGCAAAGACATGGTCAACTTTCATTCTCTTAACGAGTTTTATTTTTAATTCCAGTTTCTGATGAAGCCAAAGAGTCAGGGATGTACTGACTGAGGGAAAACTTAAGCATTTCAATTCTGTTCTGTAAGGACTCTTTTTCTTGCTCCCTTGCTGATGTCTTGAGTCTTTCAGCTCGGCGAAAAAACAGTGAGGTGGAAGAAATGCTCTGTATGCACATATGCACATTGTTTTCAGCTGCACTTCACTCCTCTGGTGTCAAACTGTTGTTCCTCATGTGCGTTTCCCGTGTCAGAAGAATCAATATCATTGCAAAGCGTGAAAAGATGTGGGTAAGCCTACCATTCATGTGTGGTTCCTCAGACCATTGAGGGAAGATGACCCATAAGAAAGCATTAGCCGGGAGGTACATTACTCTTCGTAACTGCCCAGATAGCAGCATATTACTGAAGATGGGGATTGAAATGGCTGCAGCGCTTGGAGGCTTGCAGTTTGGGGGATCTCGGCTCAAAATCTCTACTTGCTTCTCCAACAAGCCATCACTGACTTCATCTCAATTTTGCCAACCTAGAGTCAGCATGGCCCCAGCTCATGTCCTCAGCTGTTGGTGCATGAATCGACACTTACAGCACTTTTGCTGTAACTCCCAAACGTCAGCCTCTGGAGTGGCAGCCCCCAGACCGGGTCATTGGCAATAGGTCCAGGGTACATGACCAAGATGAGAATCATATACAGGTCCAATAAATTACAGCCTCCCTGGTTACACAGTCCTGCTTCTTCCAGCAGACTAGGGTCATCCTCCTTCTGATGGTCTGGCATTTTCTAACTTTTCAGAAATGTCATTCCATGAGGGGAAAGCAGTATTTTCTCTCTCTCTCTCTCTCTCTCTCTCTCTCTCTCCTTTTTCTCCCTTTCAATATAAACTAAAAGACAGGAAGTCTATGACATGGGACTGTGTTTCTGCAATGGCTCAGAGTGCATCGTGCTCCTTGCAACCTGATTCTGATGCTTTCTTTCTGGCATCGGTAGCAAAGCACAGAGAGGCCAGAAGAGAGAAGTGTCCTTGTTCCTAATTGTAATGTTTGGGGCAACAGTGGTCCGCGCTAGTTCCCCGAAATTTAGCTGCCAAATGATTTTCTGTGCATGTGTGGCCTGAAGGATACTTGGGAGAAGTTTTATCACAAACCAGTTTTGCAGGATTTTGCAAGGAAAACGTATCCTGAATAGCAGGACGAGCCCTTAACGTGCCTATCTCTTTAAAAAACCCAGCCCCTCAGTAACCAGCTTTCAAGGCTTTGCATCGAAACACAGAGGTCTTTCAGCTTCTGAATGAAACGGCTTTAATAATTGTGAATGTCTCTGTTGGGTGGTGCTACAGTTCCCTCTCTCATAACATACCCTGCCAGATCCTAACAGCTGGTACAATTTGGCCCAGCTCCATGTACTACTACACAGCTCTGTTGAGTTACACCAACTGCGAAAATACAGCTGATATATTCCCATAAATATTATTATTTAAAAATATTACAGCATTATCCCCAACGGGAAAAAAAAAAACCAAGCTATCTTGAAAAGTATTATGTCGGTGGCTTTGTAACATTTATTCAATCGAAAAAATATTCATGGTTTAATAAAATAATTTGTACTTAATACTATTTCCAAATCTGAGGATTTAGATCTCATGTGCATCCAGCTGGCTTTATATATTTTGATGAATTCCCCCCATCCTCACCGGGTTCCAGTTTTATATCATTTAGGTTGCTTCCCAAGGTAGACGGATGACATTCATTACAGAAAACTCCCATCAGATTGTTTATTTTACTCTGCAAAATGGAAAGTATCTTAATCACGCTAAAGCAGGCAGCCCATGAGTGCTTCAGGCACAGCTACACAGAGCCTTGCTGAGGGGAAGGGGGGAAAAAAGAGACGAAAATCTGAATACAATTAACAGTGCCTTTGTCAGGAAAGTGATAAAAGAGTCCCTGAGGGAACATCCCGGTTTTCTGTTAGAAAACAGATCCCTATAGACAACCATTGACATCCTCCAAGTTCACTGCTCTTGCGCTGCCCACCTCCGGGCTACCTGCTCCGGGAAGACATGGGATGGAGGCTCTGGAAGTACATGACGACAAGGAAAGGGGGGAAGATTCAGCCCCTGATTTTCCTTTGCCTGCTGCAGAAATACATCCAGCTCCTCCTCCATCGGACCCCTCGGCCGTGCTCTCTGGGGCCAATGGCAGACATGTTTCTGACGGGATCACTCACGGCATCAGACAAGTCCCAAACAAGATCCAAAACGGTGCTTAGTGCAGTGAAACCATCCTGCACCGTCTGGGGTCATTTTTCCCTGCAAAGTGGTCTCATCCAGCCCTTCTCATTATCATGCACTCTGCAACAGTCCCACATAGCTGGTCCTCAGCACCCCACCAGGAAGGATTTGCATTTCCTGGGTTGGGAAGAGGTTCGTGAAACACCGTCGTCTCATCTCCAGGAGAAGGGCTTTCATTAGAGCCAGCGTGGGTATGACTTTGTCTTCTGCATGTGGGTCACGGAGCAGAAAATGAGATTTGGGAGAGGGGGGAAAGAGCAGGAAACTTAAAATCCACCTGAGATTAATGACTTTAACATGTACAACATGTTTTGTTTTGCTTTGTTTTCCCCTCAGGACCAGTTTCGTCAGTCAGACAGAATTTGATTAAATATCTCAGCAGAGCCATGGTTTATTCATCTAGAGTGAAAGTTATTCCCTGTTCAGGGAAGCAGCATTAACTTTATTCTCTATCCTACCAGTTAATTATAATAATAATAAAAATAATAACAATGGCATGCTTTGTGGGTTCGTCTTATTTGCTTTGTTAAAAGTAAGCGGATAGTATTTGGTCTATATTGTAGTGATCAAATGAGCTATCTTAAAGATCTTTTTTGACCTTAAAGATTCTATCTGGCTGTGTGGAGCTTTTTTGGAGTGCAATTTTCCAAATTTTTCACCAAAATCACAGGGGCTAAGCATTGCTTAAAAAAAAAAAAAAAAAAGGAAAGACGGAAGAGGGTCTCACATTCTCACATAATAGCAAGACTCCAGGAGCTGGGACATGAAGGGAAATGCTGCAAACGTTGCATGGCTTATGGGAAAACCATGAGATTTGTAATGCTGTGCTGAGGAGCTCGTGCTGCCATCTGCACAGGACTGAATCTCACACTTAGAAATTGTCATGGATTGAGTTACTTTGAGAGTCTGCCTGTTCGTATAGTACGGCATCAACTTAAATGGGGACTGCTCATATGCTTAAAACTAAACATGTGTATAAGTGTTTTTCTGGATCAGGGCCAAAACACTGAAAACCTTAGAGAATTGAATCCAATAAAGGCCACTTATCGATATCTCAGATCTCTCTAAGTGGTAACTGCTGAC